AACTCCATAGACCGTCTATAAAATTACAGAGCGCAAACATGAGTAGCTCACTCTGAGTGTTGTTATAATACAAACGTTGGCCCGTGGAAAGCAGCATCATTAATAATATGCTTCATAAAAGTTCAACGTTCAGCTCCTTCAGCGGGACATCGGGTACAGCTGGTCGCATCAGCTCATGGCTGTCTCACATCAGCGACCGTCGCAAGAAAACCTCCGTTATTTCCATGAAGCCTTCCAAGTCCTTGGGTAAGGTCCAGCACTACTATAAGCTTCATTTTGTTCTCCTCTGTTGCTTCTTTGCGGAAGTGAATGAAGCAAACGCTTAGAATTCTCTATTTTTGATGGGTGCATGTGTAATTGTGTATGCAACCAGCCGAAAAACTGCTCTGATTTCAACGTTACTGTGGTATACATCGGATATCGACGACAATTCGTTCCCGAAGTGAGGACGAGAACCAAACAAAATGTACCCAGTAAAAATAAGTCTAACGATATGAATAATTTTCTCAGCCCCATGGCCTTATTTTCTAGGATTTCTTTCCAATGCATGCCTTACCGATATTATCACTTGCCAATTAATTATATTTAATGTATATTATGAACAGCATCTCTATTTTCTCCTTTATACAAGGGGCCAGTGCTTTTAAATCACTTAACTTATGAGTGTATTATTTTATATATTTTTATTTATTTATTGTGTTGATCAGCGTTTTTCTTCAGATACTATTACTAATAACTTTCTATGATGATTCCATGTATTATAATTTAAATAAGGAACTATGCAAAACAAACGTATCTATGTATACCCATGCAGAAAAATCAAGAGTTGCATTATGTTCTTCACAAATTCGAAAATACCCATATATAAGAATTGTAACAAATATAATGTACCAATAAATGTCAAATATGCTCGTGTATGACAGATTGAACTATTGCATCATATATACAGTGCAAAAACGTGCACAACACCGAGCGGGAATCTTCTTCCGATTGCTGTTTCACTTGTGCTGACCCGCGCAGGGCCGTAAGACTCCCGTAAAGCGGGCTTAGGAGAGGTATTCCGAATAGAAGGGTTTCTGAAAGGTGTTCCTAACAGACGGGTATAGGAGAGGTGTTACGAAGGGATGGGCGCAAATTTTTCACATTGTTAATAAGAAGGCAAAATTTTCTCGCATTTGTTGGTCGAATACCGATTTGGACAACTTCGTTAGCTTTTGAATGCGGAGGTAGTGTGTTGTTTGGTAATCTTAATAAATGACGTGAAGCAATCTGTTTTTTTTTTTAGGTAAATTGTTGAATTAGATTTCTACCAATGGTATATCGAGAAAGCTGCTGATGCTTTTGTAGTTCAATTGACTTCATTTTCCATGTATTTTTCGCTTTATCTGTATTTATTCTATACATGAAATTAACTCAGAAAATGAAAACTTCGATCAAGCTATTATCGGCAAGTATGCATGATCATGTGTTCAAGTGCATTCAATTAAAGTGTGATAGCCGTGCAAAAATTCGTGCTGATAAAGTAACTGTCGAATTTCGGCAGCCTCCTTGTACGTACACGCACATTTCAAAGGCGACTTCGATTATTCCCTTTTCTAATTTCAGGTGCCTTTTCAATTTATATTTTATATATAATATAGTACATGTCGTGGAAATGCACGAGTGTGAAATGATAGACTTATTTTGAAAAATATCAAAGATTGACTTCACTTCATCCGTGTTGCATCGTTACTATTACATTTCCACACATTGCTGAGTTTTCATCTCATTGGCGGACCTATATGCATCGTCTCGGGAACTTGATTATACGGTTTCGACTAGGAAGGTCTAATTTGACATTCGTTTGCAACTAACATTGATTTCTGAAAACTATCGTGCGAGATATACGAGGCAAGGAATTTTACTGCGCTAGTTACGCCCAAGTATTGTTCACAATTGTTCCTTAGCTGGTATTTTCACGAAAAGGCTGAATCCTTGTCAAGTTGAAGCATCAATGGCCATTTATTATTGATCGGCAAACCAATAAAATTTTTGCATTGTGCTATAATTCTCGACTAAGACGGGCACAGTAATTAAACATTACATTAATTTTTTGATGAACAACTTTTTTTATCAATGTCGTAATGTTATAATTAACCTCTTCTAATGGGTAAAGATCAGTGCGATTATTTGCGGGCTTCTAGTTGTGCCGCAGCTGACCTGATGAATCGACAGTTCCCCTAGCACGACACTCCTATTTTTATATTAGCTCTCTTATTATTACCGTGCTCTAAGTTGTGCCTCAGCGTTACTTCCATGCTTGCTAGTAAATTAGCTTCTGTGGTTTTTAATCTACGAATCTTTATGTTAAATAGAAAGGCGACAGAAGAAGAAATTCGCCATCCTTCAACTTCATCCATTCCACCGATGTAGAATGAGAATGATTTATAAAAGGAACCAATAAGTGCTGAAGATTCATAACATTAAGTACTTAATACAAAAGAAGTTATGGTTAGTTTGAAGTTTGCCATCTAATAATGCTGACAATATTTGTGAAAGAGGCATCATGCTTTTTATGACAATCAACAAGAAAACAAGGGAAGAAATTATTAGCCACTGCATTGTGGACCAAAGCTGCCGTGTATCACTCATTATTCTTCTTGGCAGCACGTCTCTAGTCCCTTAATTTAGCTGTTGCGCCTCCGTCACCATTACCTCCCTTGCCTCGCCTTATATTTTTTTGTGACAGCTATTATCGTTCTTAAATTGGTTGATATCTTTTCCTGTTCCGGATGTCAAATTTATTTTCCTGATATGCGTGATGTTTATAACGATGAATGTAGCAGTAAAAAGGAAGTACAATAAATCTCGAAACAAATTTATTCAATGTCATGTTAATGTTGAATGCCTCGTTCGTGGTGATTTCGTAGAGCGCTAAATTCTCACGTGTTTGTTCTCTAAATGTTAGCCGTTATTTGCAGCCGTCTTATTACTGATTAGATGGCGACATCTCTTTATGTTATGAACGTGTTGGCTGTTTGTTGTTGGCAACTAGCAGCTCCATGCTTGCTTTACGCTCAGGCTTTACGAGCGAAATAAGCGTCTTATTAGAATCTAGTCGTTGACGGGGGCGATCGTGGGGCGAGCGTTTTCGGCACCTACGTACCAAACAACCGCCATTGAATAAAACGATCTTTATTCACTGAAGGAATTTTGTGACTGGCACCACAATATTATACAATTGTACTACTCACAATTTTGTGAACCTCGCCTGAAAATATTCAAATTTTGTAAACCTTGTTTGCATCACCGAAGATGTTCCGTATTGTTCAATGCCTGTCAATCAGGCAATGCACTTTCATCACAATATCAAGCAGTGTCGTCCCAAAATCATAGTGACCTGAATATTTAATAAAAAAAAACTTGTAGGCTCTGATTTCAAAACCGACCGTTCATCTGTTGCGTTTTCTGCCAATCAACAGCTTGCTTATTAGTTATGTATGTTACGACGAGGATTTGAAATTTATATCTTGGAGCTACAAGCATTATTTTGTTCTTACTGCCACGTACTTATCCAGTATTTTTCTCCTCCTGCACCCCTTAATCGTGTTTCCATGCCATCAAGCAGCCTGTTGTTTTTAACTACAGCAAGATAGACTGGTATATTTTTGTAATATAATTAATGAAATTACTATCTAACTAACACGTAAGCTCAAAAAAATTGGCAAAGTCAATTCTCATCTCTTTCCATCGTATAGGTAACGTTACAAACGTACACGTGCACATACGTCGACGCCAGTTCATGAGTGGGAGATGGTCATGGTTCGTTCGATCAAATACCAGCGTATGACGTGAAACAGCCTGACCAGCTGCTCTTTTTGGTTGTATTACGCAGATTCGGCCAATCTACTCCCGCAATAAGCTCCTAATTAGCAAATGAATACAGTATGTGGCCAATTTTCTCCTGATTCATCTCTAAGCCGATTCAATGGTGCTCGGGACAACTCAGAAATGGAATCTGAATTTTGACCGGGCGTGGCTGCCGCGTGACATACGGTGCATGCTCGGTCTTCGCGCGATTGCAGCGCTGGCAGGTTTACTTGTACGACCAACGCAGCGACTTTTACCCTTGTCAACATTCTTGCTTGCCATTATTGTACTCTAGAACAACATGCGTATTTTCTACAGTCCGGAACGAAAATTTGAAATTTGCTGTGAATTCGCTTCGTAATAGAGTAGTTACTGAAGTTATTGTGGTGAAGTGTATAATGAAGTTGTTTTAGTGCTTTATTGTAGTGTTCAGTAAGATTATTTTAGCGTTTTATTCCTGTGATTGGTGGAGTTATTTTACGTTTTATTGTTGTTTTGGTGGAGTTATTTTAGCATTTTATTGTAGTGTTTGGTGGGGTTATTTTATCGTTGTAGGTATTATTGTATTTGGTGGGGTTATTTTAACGTTCTATTGTTGCATTTGGTGGGGTTATGTTGTGTTGCATGTTGTGATGCATGTTCCAGTATCTCTTGGTGCGATAAGTTGCAATGTCTCTTAATATTGATGTTCATAGATTTATTGGTTAGTTATTTGATAGAATAGTAGAATTGTCACTGAATCTTTGCATTATATTTTCTCTTTGTCAATCTCTTTCTAGACCTAAATTAATGGTACCAATTATATTTAGTGCATTTTAAACTTTTTTCATTTGTATACGTCCTTAAGACTAAGTTAACCAATTGACAGGCTGGAGCGAAGACATAACTTGCCTTACTTGAATATTGACTCTGCCTTCAAATGTCACTTTTATGTTGAGTATTTTTGTCGTCTGGGCGCCAACGTTGGCTATATTCGTGAAGAAATGAATAAGTAGCAGCGAACGCTACACTCGCTATACTCTGTATTTTTGATGTATTTAGGTGCTAATGATACATGATGTAATGTATTTATGATGTATGCAGGTGCTAATGATACATGATGTAATGTATTTATGATGTATTAAGGTGCTAATGATGCATGATGATCACAGGCGTTGTGCACGAGGCGCCTGGGGGCGACGCGGGCCGCAGGGGCAGCGACGGTGAGAGCGAAGAGGCGTCAGGCGCCAGCGACGACGTAACGCCTGCAGTCAAGATGAGGCATAAGGCGCGCAGACGCCTCACGCAGGAGGTGAGTAGTGTGCCATAAGGCGCCTCACGCAGGAGGTGGGTGGTATGCCCGCCTCACGCAGGGGGTGAGGCAGCCCTCCTACCTGGTCTCGCAGGAGGGGGCGGTAGCCTCTTTACCTGTTATGAAATCTTTTACTAGTGAAATTGTGGGAACAATTTTCTCTAGATATGGAGGGAATGGATGAGCGAGAGACGAGGAATCTAAAATCATTCCAAACCATTGTGTTGTTGTATGAATTTAATAATTCATAGCTTTGTTTGATATAACGCCTAAGAACGTATAGTGCTAAATACCACACGGTGTTTTCGAAATTCCCCTTCGGGATTTTTTTTCATATTGCGTTGGAGATGGACTTGTTCTTTTCTTTTAAGTTCGACATCCTCCTGTTTTTCATACTGTTCAGTTAAGGAACTGTATCCTTATATGTTAATCAATTACTTCCACAACTTTTATCACGATATAATTAAATTATGTTATGCGAGTTAGACCGGAGGTTCTGAACAAGATGTTTCTTGATTTTGTGTCCATGCGATCGAGGACAATCTCCTAGAAAAAAATTGAGGTGTCCGGTCTCAATCAGGCGTCTCATTCTATTCATTATTATTGTACTCTAAGATTAGATGATCATCTGTAATTGAGACTTAATATTTTCTAGACGTGGTGGAGATTGATAGAAAAGATACTATACTAGAAGTATTAAAAATGTACTAGACTGATGAAAAAACACTAGACATGAGTCAGCATGGACAACATCACGTGACAGTTCACTCGATCAAGACCTTAGTAATGGGCGGAAGCCGTGATTCAATAAAGGGGCTGAGAAACTTAGTAAGATCCCAGTAACTGACAAGTACGCCGCCATGTAACTCGCGTTAGAGTTACTCCGACCTAACACGCGACGTCTTAGCCTTATACTACCAATACAACTCTCATGTATAACCACTCCGTATCAAGATAAATTCTACATACTGATTGTGTCCTACTAATTCCTCAAGCACTTAGTCGATGAATCCCTGTCCTCAGCTAGAAATATATAATCAGTCAGGTGGCGCTTAATATCGCCGCCTGACGGTACCTGGTGCATTAGTCTTTTACTCACTAATGTGTATTGTGTCGGGAGCGACGAATACGATGTTCGCGAGACACAAGCAATAAACAATTTGAATTATTTCATCGAGTCTAATTGTCCCGCGATATGAATTGTTCTAGCACTGTTTCTTATTTCAATCGTAAATTTTAATTTCTTCTCTTGAATTTAGACAATCACGATTTTGTATACGTCGAGAAGTAACCCTGCACTTGTATAGATGCTCCCATCTAAATCTAGCAAACTTAACTATAAGGAAGGCGAAAAGTAAGTTGACAATTAGGGGCATTATAATATTGATTATTTAATTAATATCCAATACAAACGTCTCTCCCTCCCTACCGACCGTCATAACAACTATCAATATTATAGCAAGAATGTCTATAGTAAATTAGTAATAATGTATCAACAGGATATCAACAAACCTCTCTCCCTTCCTACCGACCTTCATAACAACTAGTAATATTAATGCAAGAATGTCTATAATAATGTATCAACAGGACATAAACAAACGTCTCTCCCTGCCTGCGGACCTGCGTGTGCCTGAGGCGTTCCTGCAGAAGCAGGAGCTGCGGGGCGACGCTCCCCTCAGCCGCGTCAGCAGGCGCAAGTCGCTCGCTGAGCTCGGCTTCGGTCGCATGGAGACCTACACAAAACTGGATAAGCTCGGAGAGGTGGGCGCAGCATCCGCTTTGTTTTATTCTATAATGTAATTAATTAGTGCTCATGTCGAAGCTATTAGCTCAGCATGCAAACATACACCAAACTGGATAAGCTCGGAGAGGTGGGCACAGCGTCCGCTTTGTTTTATTCTATAATGTAATTAATTAGTGCTCATGTCGAAGCTATTAGCTCAGCATGGAAACATACACCAAACTGGATAAGCTGGGAGAGGTGGGCACAGCGTCCGCTTTGTTTTATTCTATAATGTAATTAATTAGTGCTCATGTCGAAGCTATTAGCTCAGCATGGAAACCTGCGCAAAACTGGATAAGTTCTGGGGGAGTGGGCACAATCTCGTTTGCGTTCTTTTCTATAAAAATAATTACCTATTTAGAGACCATGTGCACTGTTAGAAAAAACGGTGAAAAACGGTCCCACTGTCATTCAAGTGGCCGGTCGACCCTTGAAAATAAACTGTTTCGCTGTTTTTATCAGATGTTTTACGGATTTCTAGTGTTGAATTTGAATAAAAACGGCGGCAGGGTTTCTTTTCACGTGCCGACAGGCCACTGAAACGCCGGTAAAACCGTTAACGGTAATTTTTCTAACAGTGTGTAAGCTAGTAGCCTAGCAGGTAGTGACGAGCTTCTTGTCATTGTAGCTGTCGACCACCTACAGAGATAGGCTTCCTTCTTTGTAGGCTCTTGCTCTGTGTGTATTAACTCTTTGTCCGATGGCCTCTCGTGGACCACAACGAGTAGCAGCTCTTGTGATAGCCTAATGTGTGTTATTGGATTTGATAATTTTGAGTTAGCATGAATAAATTTGATTCTAATAATTACTAGGTTAACTTTAGGGATATTTTCTCTGAATGTTAGCTATTGTTGGCTATTGTAATTTCAAAACGTTTACTGCGTTAAAACGTCGTGACGTACCTAGTTAGCGCCCATGTCGAAGCTATTCTGTACTAACTTCATTATGTACAGGGCATTGTACTGTGCTAACATGTACAGATGGTGTGCTGTGGTGTGGTGTGGTGTGCTAATATTGGTGGGTGTGGTGTGCTAATATTGGTGGGTGTGGTGTGCTAAAATTGGTGGGTGTGGTGTGCTAACATTGGTGGGTGTGGTGTGCTAAAATTGGTGGGTGTGGTGTGCTAATATTGGTGGGTGTGGTGTGGCAATAATGGTGGGTGTAAAATGGTAACATTTGTAGGTGTATTTTGCTATTTGCATAGTGCAAATAACTGTGATATCGAAATTTATCAACCAATTACGGAGACGATATTAATGTAAGCTTGGCGTTGAGCGTGAACAGTTATTTCCTTACTTATTATTCAACTTTTGATAATACAAATGGAGCGTCAAGATGTTATCTTTTACTGTGTTGAAACTTACTGTATTGAAACTTTATTTACACTACACGACATCTTATATCGTGTTGTCGTTACAGTGACGCTACACGATATCGTGCACACCGAGAAGAGCCTCACGCTCGTCTTCGAGTATCTTGACCGCGACCTGAAGCAATACATGGACGAGAATGGCGCTGCTCCGCTCTCTCTTAACAACGTCAAGGTCGGGGCCTCCATTATTCTTATATTCGCACTTGTTCTTCATTGCACTTGAGATTATGTTTTGATATCAATGTTCTTACAAGCTGTGATAATCATTACCCTGTTCCTGAACGGTCGTAAATTTATTCAGTATTGTGGAATTGAGAGAAACAATACCATGGAATTTAAGGGCATTTTGCTTCCTGGAAGAATTTTGGACGGTATTTCTGAATATCTGCTGATGAGGATCTCTGAAAGTTTAATATCTTATATGGCTTGATTGAATTTTTCGAGTTGAAATTTATGTCTGTTTAGCAATAATCATCATTAATACCGTTGTTTATTTGTATTGAAATACTGCAGTGAATGATTGAAACTTTCATATTAGGTGAGAGGTGCAGAGCAGGGGCCGTATTATCAAAACTTCGTAAGTACGCAAAATCGACTTACGAGTGGCGTTGCTATGACAACGTAATACTAGCGGTGGTATTATAAAAACATTTGAGCGGGAAAAATTGGCGCGGGGAAAAAATTTAGGCTATTAGCCAAGACTTGCGTACGAAAATTTTGATAATGCCAAAATTAGGATGTATTTACGTACCACAGAACTTTTTTGTCGTAAGTACAAAAACTTACGAAGTTTTGATAATCCGGCCCCAGATGTCGGTAAATCGGTTAGCATTCAACTGGGAAAAGTTCTAAAGAATTCCTGTGGTGCCATATTGTTCATGTTAAACAAGGCAGGTCCGTGTCTTGTTCTTGTTAAACAAGGCAGGACCGTGTCTTGTTCTTGTTAAACAGGACAGGTCCTTGTCCTGTTCTTCTTAAACAAGGCAGGTCCGTGTCTTGTTCTTGTTAAACAAGGCAGGTCCGTGTTATCGGACCAGCCCGTGGTTTCGGACCAAAATTTTCACTTTCCATTGTGATTAACTTTAATCTCTGCGCATTGGTTGATTAATTATATTTTCGTGCAGGACAAATAACCAGGCTGCTGTAAATAAAATTAGATTATTCAGTCGAATGATTTACCTCACCCTCTATGATACATGAGAGCTTCATTTCTTTTCTAGCGAGTCGATGAAATAAGTGCTTGTCCGCAGCATTGACGTCGTTGACAATTTGACGTTTATGCAAATTTTTCCTTCACAGTTATTTTTCATATACAATTATTACACAGTAAATCGTTATTCCTTGCTTTGGCGATGAATTGGAAAGCTTCTTGGCTTTTTTCCTGTATTGATGTCGTTCTAGTGTTAAATTGCCTAAATCTCGATTTCATCTTGCGTTTCATGCACTCGCGCTGACGTGTTCTTGTCTCGCAGATATTCCTGTTCCAGCTGGTGCGAGGGCTGGCTTACTGCCACCAGCGACGAGTTCTCCACCGAGACCTTAAGCCTCAAAATCTTTTAATCAACGACCTCGGCGAATTGAAGGCAAGTCGCGCAGAATGTCCATTTCTCCACGTCTGCTTGATTCAGAGAGCAGCATTTACATTCCGTATTGAAAAAATTGACCAAACATAACATTTTTCCACAAAATATTTTTCCTTAACTCTCCCCTTGAGTCCTGTCCTTGACCTCCAAGGATAACTTTATATGCACTCTTTATGTACGTGTGAGCGTCGCCTTGCTTCAGGGCAATCCTCGAGTTTATTGATTACAACTGCGGGCCTTTGTTAGGCGAGACGTTGCGGTGCGACGCAGCTAATTACAGACCATAATCACAGCCCGGCTTACGTTGCGGTGCGAAGCATTTAATTACTTAGCATAATCACAGCCATGTAGACGTTGCGGTGCGACGCAGCTAGTTACTTAGCATAATCACAGCCCGGTAGACGTAGCATAATCACAGCCATGTAGACGTTGCGGTGCGACGTGCTGCGCGGCTCGTTATTTTCCTCCTCATATCAGCAGAGGCCATCCTGCAAAATTACTTAGCATAATCACAGTTTGAGGTCCAGTGTTGGTGTCGTGTCTAGCTCGCCCTGTTAACAGTGGCTGCCGCTGTAGGAATTCTTGTCACATCGTTTCGGTTCTTTTTTTCTTTATATTCAGACAAGCAGCCACCTCACGACATTGATATCTATGTTGATATCATTATTAATATTTCTTGTCTCAACATCGAGTCCCCGCCACGAAAATTCCTTCACTGAAGGCCTCCAAGTTGATTACGCCTGGATAGAATTATTGCAGCTTATACATGATAAGCAAGAGTTTCGTAACATGCTCTTACTTCATCCCTGTGTCGAGCATTCCTCATAATTTTTAAACGATTCCTGTGATAATATTTGTAATTTTGTTCGCGCAGTTGGCGGACTTTGGCCTGGCGAGAGCCAAGTCCGTCCCTACCAAAACATACAGCAATGAAGTCGTCACGTTGTGGTACAGACCTCCGGACGTGCTGCTCGGCTCCACGCATTACTCCACACAAATAGATATGTGGTGAGTGCTGCTGGGCTCCACGCATTACTCCACACAAATAGATATGTGGTGAGTGCTGCTGGGCTCCACGCATTACTCTACACAAATAGATATGTGGTGAGTGCTGCTGGGCTCCACGCATTACTCTACACCAATAAATATGTCCCGAGTGTTTCAGGCTCAGTAACGTTCAATTAAATATTTTAATAAGCGTTATCGTCAACGCACATTTCAAAATAATAGGAATATGTAGCGAGTTATAACTTGTAAGAAGGTTACGTCCGAGGTTAATTCATCCCGCTAACCTAACCGTTGCCTGCTAATAATCCTATTCTCTTGTCACGGTTCAAATGTATTCAAAGACATTATTTTAATTTGTATAACTCATTCCAAATTATTACTGGTATATAATATTATTCTACATTATGATTGCAAGATATTATGACATACTTGTCATGTAATAGTAATTATGCGTGTGCAGGGGCGTTGGGTGCATCATGTACGAGATGATATCAGGTCGCCCTCTATTCCCCGGAGCGACGGTGGAGGACGAGCTCCACCTTATATTCCGCACCCTCGGAACACCGACAGAAGAGACGTGGCCGGGCGTCGAAGCCATGCCTGAATTTAATATGTACAGAAACGTTCATCATCCTGGTGAACCTTTGATAACAAAGGCTCCTAGGTTAGGGCAGGACTCTGCGCTATCGTTGCTCAAAAAATTCTTATTGGTGAGTCCAGAACATTTCTATTTAAATTCTACTTGAATTATCTTGGTCAAATTTTATTTCCGAGCCTGACCTGAAATATGGCCGCTTTCAACCTTTGGTACACCCTTAATTATTGATAGATTTAATATTTATATTTATGTGCGATTTGTCGATGATTTATTATATACTGTTTCATACACCAGTAATTTTGATTTATCTTTTTCATGATATACTAACCCCACCAAAAAAGGCGTTTCACTATTTACGCTGTTTCCTAAAAAACAATGAGCTTAGCCAGGAATTGCATATGCTGCGCAGGAGGAGCTTGTATCCTGGCTCAGCAACTAGTATGTCTTGTTTGCATAATGTCAGTACCTACGAGGCTAAGAAGAGGATATGTGTCTTGTATTCCTAATGTTCTCATTAATTAAATCTGAGTACTCGTTGCCAGTACGAGGCTAAGAAGAGGATATCAGCGGCGTCCGCCACCAAACATCCATTTTTCGAGTCGCTGGGTCCCGCCATCCACAGACTCGGTGACCGTGAGTCCAGATAACGCCTGTCTTCATCAAATTATGTTCATTGCCTGTCTAAATAATTGCTTATTTTGTGCTATTTCAACGAAGCTCACTGGGCTAGCCATAATGTCATTACGCTTCGTGTCGTGTGAATTGAATTTTTTTTTTCAACATTAGCATTTTGACTAGGTTTTAATGGTCTAAAATAACCTCATGAAAACTTGACATGAATATTTCCTTCAGATGGAATTTTATAATGAAATTGACAATTGGTTTCTCGTATTATATATATTAGTGATTTATCACTTAATTGTTTACGGACTATAAAATTTTCATTTCAGAGGATTCTCTATTCTCGTGCCCGGGCGTGATGTTAACTAAGGACCACAACGCGGTTTACCGCTCCTCAAACGGCACTCAGAGCCGCAACAGACGTCAGAGTATGCATTTCTGACACAGGGGTGATGCTAGTGCTGCTGCTGCTGCGACGCTACCCTCGTCCGCAGCTGCCGTCTCCAAAGATGCTGCCAAAACACACAAAAGTTCGTCCAATTTGTCATCCTCCTTTTCGTTCTCAGCCACACTGAGCGATGCAGGCGAGTCTCTCCAAAAGTCTCCGCCAACGAGTGCTGGAAGTGTTCGAACTTCAGGCAAGAAAACCACTAAGTTTGCATCCTCACCTGTTTTCCATGGCTCAAAGAAGCACGAGAGAGATATGGATAAAGTGTCCTCTGTCTCCCGATCCACGTCTAAATTGAAACTTTCTATCTTCTTGGGCTCATCCAAGAGTAGAAGTTCTTTACCCAAAAAATATTTACCAACTTATTGGGCTCGACGTATCAGTAATTCAGCGAGCAAATCAAGTGAGCATCTTGATTGGGTGTCAAAATCCAAAAACCTTGTTGATCCTGTATCGGAGTCAGGGAAAATTAGCTGGGCTAAGCGAGTCGTCTCGACTAGCGGCACAAATTTATGTGAATCGTTGACCTCAGATCCTGGGAAAGACCAGGCAGATGGCGCAGTTTGTAACGGGCTCGCAAGCTACACAGAATTTATGGATAGCAGAAATCTTGAGTTTGTCTTGGCAGCCGCTGGTAACGAGTGCGCCAATGAGCTTACAAAAGTAAACGATAATCAATTGAACTCTACATGTGCCAAAACCACCAGCTCAGTTATCAGTAAGTTGAAGAGCAGCAGCAGCAGTACCAGCATCAATAACGTTCTGAAGAAAGCAGTAGTTTCCACCAAGTCTTGGGCTGGGGACACCTCTGGCGTCGGCTCCAGTCACAGCTCTCGTGTCATCTCAACTCGGTCGTTTTCCACAGGCCTGTGTTCTCTTATGGACGAATCTGATGACACCGTTCACAACATAGACGAGAATGGCAGCCCAAGGCCTTTTGTGTTCGATCCTAAACCTTGTGATGATGAAGACGAGGAAACTGAAGCAGATGCGACTCTTCATTCGTCGTTGGATGGCGTCCAACGAGGAGATTTGAGCAACAGAAGTCTTCAATATAGTTTATTGCGTAGGGAAAATTCAAATAATTCTTCGAGCGGACCGACGTCTCTTGACACTGGAGTGTCGCTTTCTTTCATTAAGTCGAGAAACCGAAGCGCTGCTCCAGCCAAAGTAGGAGCCTTCGTAAGATCTGTGACAAACCTTCAATCTCTACAGGACAACGTCGTCTTAGCGAACAAACTATCTTTACCAAGTGTCTCGAAGGTCCCTTCGGTAAGCGCAAGTCAGTCAGTGCTCTGTGATCAATGTTATGTAAATAATGTGAATAATTCGTTGAGGAAAAGCTCCCATCCATCTCACTTCATACCTTGCTCTGACTCGTGCACGTACGATGATGGCCGATACATTTATTCTGATCAAAACAAATGGCCACGAACTACTGCAATGCGATGTTGCTATAACGAGGCCGATCATTCGTCCCTTTATTCAATAACCTCCTCTTGCGTGACGGGAGCGACAAACTCTTGCTGTAGTTCGTACAGATACGCTCGCGACACCGGCGGATGGCCCAGCGGCTCTCGCCATGCTCATAAGATGCCTGTGGTACGATGCTCGAGTGGGTCTTCTGTGCCGGGTATTGCGATATGTCGCTGCAACAGCGACCTTCGGCTGCCAGTGCGACAACACAACCGGGATAATTCTCTGCACGATCTCTCGTCCAACTCACACTCTTGCAATGCTTGCTACAATTACGAGTTGCGAGCGTCATCCAGTTCTTGCCTCTACAAGTATGACGATTACGTCGAGTATACAGAATCTCCCTACGTCAACAGATCTCCCTACACTGCGCACTATGAAACCCCGCCACTTTCTTCTCATTCTCCTCCTATTGCTTCGAGCCCTTCACATTCTTACTACTCGCCCTCGGACTCATACACAACTCCTACTGAAAATATCCGCCCTAGTGGTGCGGCTGAAGAAAGTGTTTTTGCCGCGTTGCAGTCGCTGAGCAGCATCCAGAACTATTCCTGTGGTATGCGGCCAGGAAATATTCTGAATGGTATTGGCTATAATTCTTCTGGAGGATTATCATCTTCCAGATACGAAGTTGTTTGTAACGCTGGCACTGGAGGCACGTGCTCGTGTGGCAATAATTGCGCTGCTCTCGGCAACTGTATTGTGGATACGTGCGGACAAGACCTCTGCGACGACCCTTGCAAGGAATCTTGTGGCGGTCGCGTCTGCTGTACCTCAATACGAAGTGACCGGCCTCCAGTGGCCCCCAGGACTGCTCGCAGCAACTCCTCATCTTCGTCCAAACAATCATTTGCTCAGACGTCTCCGAGAGGTGACTCGTATGCGAGGCAATACTACGCAGCTCAGCAACGAAACAAGAAGTCGTCCATAGAACGCAGCCTCTTCAAAGAGAGCAAACCAAACTGGAAAAGCATTGATTCTGCACGAGGAGATCCAGCTAGTCCAGCTCCTCCAGTGTCATCGAGTAAGAGTGAAGGTCTCCTTTGCACTGAGCTCTGAGAGTCAGTCTATCATATGCGCCGTCCTCTTCTGCCGGTCCTGCGATTTTGTTAAGCATCGATGCATGGTTTATTTTCTTGCACTAGAAGTTACTGGTGAAAGATTTGGCTTAGATTGCCGGTAAATATAGTTCAATTTAATGATGAAAAGCGAGAGACTTCTTTTCATGATTCGCCGTCCTTGAGTACTCGTCTTGTTTGTGCCAGCGGAATGTTCTTTTAGCTTTATAATAATTTCTCAAAAGATTAGCCGTCCTAAACCTGCTCTTGACGTATGATTAATTTATTCGATTTTCATAGTGCAATGATTTCGTTGTTTATACGTGGAAGTTCAGCCGAAAGGATCTTGAATGGTTGAAAATTATTCCTAAGTTAAGGATTGTTTTTTTTGTCATTAGTATCCTCTTGCCTTCTTTAATTTTCCATTTATGCGATCTTTATGCTGCGTTCATTCCATTAGCTATTGGGCGGCTTAGTGATGTGCTTTGTTTTTTCTACTTTAAAAAATTGTGCAAAAACCTTAAGATACGTTGTTGATCCCTATGTTCTGCTGTATTGATAAAAAAAAATCAAATGCGAATGCATTATGAATCGAAGACGTTAGTTGCGAATGCTGAGTTCTTTGTTTTTTTCAATGCCTTCGTAAAAAAAATCTTATTTGATCTTCTAAAAACCTGTTACATAAAATTTACTCAAGGTCACGCAAATTCCATTGTAGCCACTTCATATTGACGTCAGAAAGTCTGATATGTTAATTGGGTATCTATTTCCATTAGAAACCAAAGCTAGTTTCTAACTTAAAGTTCCGCTTAAGACTCGTCTTCTGGTGCCAAATCATCGAACGATGACATGAAATTCTTTGCATTAAGTTTTTCCATGGGTGACTCACATGGCCTGAAGTTGACGAGTAGACGAAAGCAGTTTAGAAGGGCCGGTAAGTTTCTTAGTAGCGTTTGGGACGACCTGCTATCTCAAGTACTCAACCTTCGAAATGGAGCTGCATTGCTGCATGTGCTTTGATGTTCTCTTTATCCGCTGGTCGGATAACGTCGTATTTTGGTTAAAAGAGTAGTGAGAAAGTGCGGAAATTTTCTTTGTCATTTACTACACGAAAACAAGAGACAAATTTAAATAGATATGAAATGTTATGATAAAATTCGTGTTTTTTTTCTACTAAATAGTGTCATGTGCGACTGCAATTTGATCATTGAATGGTGAAATAGAAAGTTTTCAAGTCACTGGTACGGGCTCGAGATGTGGTATGGTTGCTACGATAATGTCCGACCTTGTGTATTTTATTTTTACTGTCTTATCTAATCCCGAACTGAATCCTGTAATCTAATCTTCGATTTGATAATGGAATCATTTTTTAGTCAATTTTATGATTTGTGCGATACCGTATCTGTTAACAGTGCTAAATTAGGAACGTTCGATGACTTCGCTTGCTCAAAATGCGCGGACTCGGTGTCGTAAGATTTGTTGCTACGTAGGAATGATTTGAATGCTTTTCTTTTAGAGCTTGATGAATGTGGCTGTGTGCTGAATGCCATTTTTTTATTCAATGCAAATGCCGGAAAAATTATTTCTGAAACTTAAAATAATGTTATGACGTTAAGTCGGTGATGGGCGTGAAAATTATCAGCACATTTGATTATGTTTACTAAATCAGAATTTGGTTATAGAAGTGAAAAGAAATCCTGAAGTGAATCCCCAATGTTGATCTGTATTTAAGTTCCCTGCTGAGAAGGATGTATGGTAGGTTTTCATGTTATTTTAGAAGTTCCAGAATTATCCTTGAATTTCTCAATTCGGTCAAAAGTCATTTATTCATAGATTTGGACCGATGTTCGCTGCCTTCGAATGCAGTTACTGAGGTACTTGTGAAACAAAAGTCTTCATGTTGTGATTGTTGTCGATGAAATCTGAAATTCAATTACCTATGTATTTTGTTATTTTATACGTGAAGTGCTTCATTTACCACTTTTTACTATTATTTCATAAATGATACGGACTGAAGCAACCATTTTTTGATCGACTTCTAAACTTAATGCTTGACTTATTTGTTTTGCTTGGATCGTTCTTTTGAAACAAATTTTCTGTTCGGCATTTTTGAGCGGAACTTCCTTGTGTTGATGATGCTTCACAATGTTACCTGAGTGGGAGCCAACATAATTCCGAGCTATAACATGGCAAGGAAACATCGTAGTAATGATTTGAGCGACTGTTTGTTTGTTTTGAGCGACTGTTTGCCTGATTTGAGCGACTGTTTGCTTGATTTGAGCGACTGTTTGTTTGATTTGAGCGACTGTTTGCTTGAATTGAGCGACTGTTTGTATGATTTGAGGAACTGTTTGCTTGATTTGAGCGACTGTTGCTTGATTTGAGGGACTGTTTGCTTGTTTTGAGCCACTGATTGATTGACTTGAGCGATTTTTTGCTTGATATGAGCAACAGTTTGCTTGATTTGAGCGTCGCTCATATCAAGACTGTTTGCTTGATTTGAGCGACTGTTCGTTTGATTTGAGGGACTGTTTGCTTGTTTTAATTGAATTTCAATTATATAATCTCAATGAAAGAACCCAATTGTCTCTGGCTATTCCCACTATTTCCAGAATCATTTTTCTAGCGTCGCTTGTCACGCTCAAGGTATTTCTACGTAATGGGACATCATGTATTCTGCTTGTCGCTCGTGTTTGATCTTGACTCATTCTTGATTTTGACGGGCGATTGGCCCTTTGTGAGCGACTTGAAATCTTGTTTTTCTGGACTGAGGGATTAATGAACACCAAGAGGGTTGATCGAACCCGTAAGTCATAAACTTTTTTTTTTTTTGCATCGAACCGTTCTCAATAGCATTGGATCCACCAGTAATAGAATTCTAGAGGCCATCAAGTGGTTGAACAAAGTCTCTCCGTCCCTCCATTAACAATCGTGTATGTGTATTTAGCAATAATGAGGCCAATATTATAACTTGTGATGGGATTGGAAATTCCTTGAAGATGAATATTCCTCCAGATCACTGCTGCTGTCTGGAACAAAATGTGGATTATATTTTGATAGATTTAACTATTTATTTCGATTTTATATTTGATGTATTTTCGTGCTTTGTAAAACGTGTGTTTTATCTCATGCGATTGCTGGAAAGAATATCCAAGTATTCGCTTGTGTAGAGCAGAATTAATTTGTTCTTTGTGAATTGAAACTTGGCATTCGAATGCATTTTCACTTCATATTTTTACTTATCGGAGAATTCTCTTAGGTATGTCAACTGCTGAGGTTCATCTGTGTATAAAAAGATCGTTTATTCGAGAGGTGTTGCTCTTCATTCCACTGTTGTGGATATTATCGAGACTTAAGCGTTATACTGTCTGAAGTTTGCCGAGCCAAGTACTTACTAACGTCTTATTAAGTTGATATTCCTGTTTCTTCTTAATAAATTCCTTAGTTCGGCCTATCTGTTTTGTATCCAAACCCACTTGTAGAAGGCGAACATTCTAATTAAATATATACGCTGAAAATTTATTTAAAAGTTTCAATAGATATACTTAAATTGCGGACATCAATGTTTTCTGGAATGTCCTGCAACATAACTAAGTTAAATCGCTGAAAAAATGAATCCAAAGAAGATGTGAACGTTTCAATACTTCGATAAGAACATCAGCATAATTTAATATATCCAGAAATATCCTAACTTGCCTGGTAGCTGCAAGACCAGTCAGTTTTCACAGACTAATCTATAACTGGGAAGATCTGTATGGCCAAGGAAGATTCTAGAAAGTTCTAAAACATTCGCTGAAAAATTCAAGCATGAATCGCTTTGTTAACAGAGTTTAGCGAATTATCTATATGCGTGATCATTAATTGAATCTTTAGGAAAGTTCTAATCGTAGAAGCTGAGTGTTTTCACACTTCAGGCAATGATAGGTAATTAACGATTTCATTGGGAATAGGATTAGCAATTGAATTGAGAGGATTAATAAATAACGTTGAAATTTTCGAGAATGTTCTAGAAGATTCATTTCGTAATAGTTCCGGCAATGTGTAGCCATTTCCGGAATCGCGTGAAAAAATACCGGAATCACAGTATCAAAATCGATCGATAAGATTGGTTGATTATCAATAGAGTTTTTTTGCAATATGCGTATATGAAGAATGCCGGTTTTAACCATAAATTTTCAGACTGATGTAGATTTAAGACTAGTGATGCAGTTTGCCGAAAGTTCTAGATTTTTTTCCGAACCGATAAAATCAAGGCCTTGTGCATAAATACTATAGCTAATTGTTATCTAGCTTCACTGATTTTCGATCTGATTGACGCTTATACCCAATATAACAATCTTGCTCAACAATTTTTATAATTATGTCAGAATTAAAATTCTATTGAGAAATAATGGCACTCCAAACCAAGGGGAACTTTTACTTCGGATATCTGCAAGCTTACTAAAATAATTTAATTCCAGCAATGCGTGTTGGACAAATAGATCGGCATTTAATGTTGTGATTTATTTGGATGGCAACATCATTCATCGTTGAAGAACAGCTGAAGGAATTTGATTCACAAAACAATTAAAGTTATCCATTATCGAAGAATATTTTGCACAATATAAAATTACGGCAATAATATATTTATAGTAAGTAATATTATTAACTTGAGTCTCATAAGGAATCCTCTAAAGGTTTTCGACGGCAAGTTCTGATGGAACATTGTTCAGGCGCATCACGCATGTGTACCGAGGATCGGGAATTGAAAGGACCCAAAGATTCTTCGGAAGACAAAATATTGTCGAGTTTTTCAAGAGTCTTTTTGGCTAAAATCAACTTACTTTCTCGACTTCCCTGTTCAAATTTTCCCTTGCTGATAGGCGGTAAGTGAACGACGCCGCTTGCATGGTTGCTAACGGCATTCCAACCTTCGGATCGCGTAGAAGCACCGAGGTCGATATCGATGGCCTCCAAAGACCGGCGTTTTATGAAGTCAGGAGACGCGGACCTCGGCGCTCCACTGACGGTAAGTCGACGCATGTCAGCGTACGCGCCTCTGCTCGCATCAGCGGTGGTTTTCAATGACGCCGAGTTTTCATTATTGAAGTTGTTAATGGCTTGGCTGTTAGATGAATACGAGTGACTAGATTTATGACCTACAGGCATCAAGTTCGGCAGAGATTGTCGAGCTGGAGTAGGAGGTCTATGGCCTGGGCGACCTTCTATGTCATCTCTTAGTAGCTGGTGAATGCTCCTGTTGAGTGACCGAGATGCCACTGAAATTTTAGGCATCGAGTCGCATGCCGTCGCGTTGTATGGTCCAGCGGCAAGACAGTCTGTGGAGATGCTCGTAACGATGCCTTGCTTGCGTAGTTTTCTGCTCTCTGGGAATGGCTGTTCCATAGAATGGCTTCCCCCTGCAATGAACTTCTGCATTTTGTTTGATAAATTTGTTAGTTAGTCTGAAGTTTATCCGAGTAGTAATCAAGACCGGCATAAGTCAATAGCCACGTGTGGGTGAGGATAACAGTTCAGCTGATGCTTAGATCTTTCTAAGCTTCATTAAACGGCAATTGGAGTTGGAGCGATACAAGACTGGAGTTTCAAGAAAGTTGGTGTCGTGGGAGAGGAAGAATGTTATTTTGAATAATCACGTTTCAGAGAAATACTGCGTGAGAAATCCGTTTGATACCCTATTTGTGTGAGGTTTGGTGGCGACGGCACGATAGAAATATCTTGCGGTTCTGTCGAGAAGTTACAATCTATCATATTTCAAGATTGAAATGGAACAAAACGATCAGAGTGAATACAATTTTGAACATGAACCTGTAAAAAAACTGTGAATTGGCATCCCGAGCAGTACAAAAAGAATTTGCGCTCGGCAAAGTAGTAACAACCGCTCGATCGACCAGCCGTCTAATCCGAGTTAGGAATCAATGATGTAACTCTTGCTCGGAGAGCGTGTTTGCTTGGTCAAGATGTTGCATGATGAGATTTGAAGTTTTAGTCACTTCTGGAAGTATCATCAAGAGGCGGGGTGGGAGGTCGCTCAAGACAAAAGGGAGCAGGAGGAGGATGCTTGAAGCCGTTCGCTCTCGGTCTGCTGTGTTCCTCTTGCAAAGCCAAGAGCGCGGCACAAGCCTGATGACCGTGGTGCTCAGCGAGCTGCCTGGCGCTGCAGCCGCTGCTGTCAACCTCACCTTGGACCAGACGAATTAAATTTGTGTTAGCATCCGTTACCTCGACAACTGTAGGTCTTTCATTTGAAAGACCTACAAGACGTCGGGATAAACGTGGCAACGGTTTACCCCGTCGTTTTTAACGACGCGGTAAATCATCAACAACACATTCACGAGTCTGAAAACGATCACATATAAACTAAATGTCTAATAATTATATGAATCCTCTTAACGATACACTATCAATAGAATGTTGCCTAAATCATTTGCTCAAAAATATACAGCTTCTATATTATTCCAAGAGGTGAAAAACTTCAATTATTATAAGACGATCAGCAGAACAGTCTCTCCTAAATCTAACCAGTTAAAGAGATCAAAACCGCTCCTTGAATTAAATTAGTAAATATATTAAGAGTTATTCAGAGTTATATAATTTTTTCGGAAAACGAATGACACGGTGAAGACAACTGTTGCAGACACATGCCAATATTACATATGCAACAGGAACTACTGATTCAACTGGAAGAAATTATTATTTATCCGTAATTCGCTTTAATCTTCAGTTTCCATGACATCTTATGTGCCCGCAGCCTCACCGAACTGCTGGTGGTGCTGAAGGTTCCTGAAGGCGGCGATGAGAAGAGCGAGAGCGTCTTGGTTGCCGTGTACAGCAGCAACCATGAGAGCCGTGCGACCCTGGCTGTTGCGAGCACCTAGCGACACGCCAGGCTGCACACACAAACATTCATCAGATAATGATAAACAATAATCGAATAAATAAACTTGATTTAGACTTTAGAGCTTAACATTTACAGCTTAACAGGACGATTACTCACAAGGTAACAAATTTATTCGTATTTGTAATACTGACTATAGAACTAGGCGGTTCTGAGATACAGTATATCTCGGAAAAATTTAAAACTTCTCATGTCAATTGCACAATTACGAGAAGGATTATAATTAATATTGTAGACGACAATTCTTCCTGAAAAACTTTTTTATGAAAAACTGAAACAACAAAATCAGCCAGTAAAATTAATGCGTTCAAAGATTGCGATGACAGAAATTTGTAATACGTGAGAAGAGTGAGAAGAAAGCAATGCTATGCTCTGGCGATTTCTAAAGATCCAACGGAGCCCTGAATACCAAACAAACTCATTGGGAGAAGTGAGAAGGGAACCAAGTTACTGGCATGTGAATTGACTAGTAAACAGTTAAATTAAGCGGATGTTCTGAGGCGAAATCTATGAGAAGGCGACTTTTCCGGATTTAGGGATCAAGTCTTGAACTTTTATTTGGTGGAGGGGAAACTAGAAAAAAATGGAAATGAAGCAAACGCAAAGGTAAGGATACATTCGTTATGAAATGAGTTTCGATGTTGTGCGGTTGGCAGGATTTTCATTTGTCACTTAAGCTTTTTTCTGATTTTGTGGTTTTCGAGGATTGATGCTTACCTTTCCAAGATATGCTAGTTTTGAGCGTTTCTCTAATAAAATTTGATAACATGAATTTAGCACCCTTCAATTTAAATTTAGCAAATTCTTTATGATTTTCCACTAAACCGATATTCCACTTTGTAATATCATGGAAACTCTCCCACCAAACTATCACAGAATTTTCGTGCAGTGGCAAGGCGCTTGCTTGATCCCGGATCGGGACATCAATGCACAGCCAGCACAATGCATGAGCCTTGAGCACACGCAGTCTCATCAATATCGCCGCGGCTGCCTCAAAGTGTCCAAGCATCAGAGTTGGAGATTTCCCCCGTAGCAAACCCAAAGCTCGATACCTTCCCTGAATAGGTTTATGCCAGCGCTTCGTTTGTGATTTAAATACTGCGGTTAAATTGATCCAAGGTTTGGGTCAAAATTGATACGGGAATGCTGGAAATTTATTGCTGCATATTTAAGACTGACTAGATATTCGAGGCTGTCTTAGCTAAAAAATTTCGTCAACTTGGATTGAAATTAGACTCTATCTTTGTTGGAATCTTTACACAACTAGGCTCCAAGCTTGCAGTTTGAGTTCAAAATTGTGTCAGACTTGGCCAAAAATATAAATACAGAGTATTTTGGAACGTAACCTTGAAGTCCCAATGGAAGTTAAAGTTTTATGTCAATGAACCTAATGAAATTTGCAAGGCATCAATTTCAATCCGTAAAGACATAGCCTCATTTCATTTAACACGTTGAACTAAGAAGAAAAAAAAACGAAAATAAATCTAAAAAAAATACAAATTGAAAATAGGTGACAACGTTACTAAAATAACAAAGTTTCGATAATAATAATTATATTAAAATTCTAATTTAATGGAGGAATGTCGACATGAAAAATTTGCGTGCGGTCGAGTAGCGTGACGGGAACTGTAGTTGGAGAATTCAAGTGCACTGTCATGGTGAGCGAGACGTCTGCGAATAAGTGGACGATCGATGAAAGAACGACGGTGAAGCCTTAATTGCACAACACAACTTCTTCCTTACATGGCAGGGATATCCGACCAAGTGAGCTGCTGCTTCTTAACCCGGATCGGGACTTATAGCGTCGCTCCCACAGTTCCTTTTGTTGTCACTCAACTTAATTAATAATAAGCAGTTACTCTATCCAAAGTTCTGTCAGCACAGATATTCATGTATGTATTGCTAAAGATACGAAAATTTTTTTTTGTTGAGCTCCCTGTATTATACTGGAAAATGTGCTAAATTATTACACATTACATACAAATACAAACAAATATTTCAAATATATTTCAACATAACCGCGCGAAAGAGAATTTCCCGTTAATACGATAATGAGGCCTAGAAATCTTGCTTCTAAAGCTTCGACGTGTTTAAAAAAGATAAAACTTTCAATTCTTTTCGTGATGATACGTAACGAAATGTGATGAGCCAACGTAAAAATTCCTAAATCTTTATAGTTCGCGTGCACGAGTTTCTGCTAAATTATTTGTGTTTCGGTTCCATACAGACGTGATCCTCAAACATACTTCATCACCGATCATGGAAATATCCATGGGATGCATAAAATAATTATTATCCAGCGAAAACAAATCAATGATAACAATTCAAATGTTTGAATGAATACGAAGTTTGGTTCATTTCAATGGACCATTACTTAATTCAAGACAATGTACAAGAAGCGATCCCTTTCGATTTAGAATATTATCTTGTTTCTTGAAAAATTCCACGCATAAAACATACGACTAAACCTGGCAAAGATCAACAAAATAGTTTCAATTTAAGTTTGCATGATATCAGAGTTAGAGAACAGGTAATACCGTTGACATAAAACAACGAAGAAAAAGCATATTTCAACAGAACATAGTAGGGACACGAAGAGAAGCTGAGATAAATAATGAGAAAGAAGAAATGTAACGAGAAGGATACATTTATTAACTGCACTTATAATTATGCTTAATTATACAAGTTGCCTAAAGTAAATTCACTTCTATTGACTCTCAAAAATCTGCACAACAATACGAAGAGGTTGTAAGAAAACCACAAGTTTTGTCAGATTTCAGAGTGAAATAAATTAAGACAGGGACATGCAGAGTAAAATAAGTGGGAAAAATTATCGACATACCCTACTGAATTAAGATTATGATATTCATTTCAATTGCACAGGCGTAATTGCAGAATTGCAACTCAAAGGTCATAACTTAACCTTTACATAAAAACTGGAGGTTAAAACATAAAAACATTAACGAGCAAAAACAAGTAAAATTAAGCGCGTTGGTGACCTCTACGGTCGATGCTGGGCGCGTATCGTGACCGCACCGAACGTCCATCTAAATCCGCGGGCCATCGAGTGGTACGCTCGAGCCTTGCAAGTTATAAGATTTATTATGAATACAGCACACAATATTAATGAATATGATGCATATGTTAAGACTTCTGAATCGAACAATCGTTATTCGTCGTTATGATCGCGATTATTTACCTGTTGAATTAAGGAACTTTCTTATATCGACACGAATGACGTCAGAACCAAGTTCCCATAGCAAGGGAGGCATTTAATACTGACAATACACCTACTTCAAATACGATTTTTAGCATTTGAATGATAATTTTTATGGACGTTAGATTTCAGTTTTAGTTACACAGAATTCATCCACGTTTTAACATACAAAATGTCGTCAATAGCAATGGAAGCAAAGTTCTAAAACAAAAACGTAAAAATTTCCGGTCTTGTGTTCTTGCATACCATGCAAATTTAAGCGGCCAATCTTAATCTTTATTGTAGCTTCATCGTAAATTGTGGTGCCTCGTGCAACTGAACTGAACAAAAGGTTTAAAGCTCCAGACCAAATATGCAAGATGATAAGAACAATGAATTTAACTCTAATACCGAGCTAATAATTATCTACAACTAAAACAAGTTATTTAATTTTAACAAAAGATTTTAAGTGAATCGTAGGCAGGAGCCAGGGTTCATATATTTTTCCGTGTACATAATTTTGAATAGTAAAATCATTTCTTACATCGAAACAAATGAAGTCATAATCAAGTTACCAATATAGTGAAGCAATTAATATGATAGACAATGCACCCACCTCAGATACGCTTGTTAGCATTTGAATGAAGTTCATTTAATATGGCTCCGAGACTGGATCTATGGGTAACACGTCAATGACTTATGTGATGATGCCTAGGAATGCGTTGTTTTAGAATTGAATGACTGCCATGATCAATACCTTAAGCGGGACTGAGTGAATAAAATATCGATACGCATGCAGACTAGGCCTTACCTTCACCTCACGAAAATTGGATGAATTAAACCGGCTTGTGCCTCGATAAGTTTCTACCAGCAAACAACGTATTAAATTTAACACATGCACCTGCCCACTCTCGTCTTCGATTACAGGTAAGCTAGGACTAGAGCATCAGCGCACAACCACCACACCCAACAATCTGACGACCACTGACCCGTCTCTTCGGTCGAGGTCGGCAATACCAATGAAGCGAGTGGCAGTCGCAAGAATGCCCCTTGCCGTTAGCACGAAACGCCGATAACATGGAGGCATTTCCATTGTGTTCGTGAGGCTAAATGGCGTAGGAGTGTTCTGGAACGCTCAAAGAATAATGAACAGGGGCATAAGCATGACTATAATTTGGTTGCTGTAATTACTAAGTTGAAGGCAGTGTTCATGGAACAGCTTCATAAAGACGCAAGCAATGGAAGTGGGAGTTTCGCTCGAATCCTCAAAAAATTTCGTGGAATGTTAGGGAACGCAACTGGTGGGAAGATGGGAAGGAACCAGTAAGATCCAGTACTTTCATATGACCACGATAACATCCAAACAGAGAAATTCACTTGAACTAATACCCAGACAACTATCGAGTAGTTTGAAGATTGTTCGACACATACAGTATGTTGAGATGTTATTGATCTCTTCGTACCGAGCGCCTTTGCTGACAATTTAAACCTCTACCGCCGTATGTCACTCTCCGGTAACATAACTTTAAACTTGAATTATACGTAAACTATTGAGTGTAGCAACCTAAGGACGTTTGTACGCAACAGAGAACATTTTAAAGTTGTCGTACGTGGCGGCAACCATCAGTGCAAGACATTTCGCGCTCACTAGAACGTATCCTTTATGGAAAGAACGCTTGCGGTACCGTAATACTGCTCCGGTTACTCGTGTCAGGCTGTAGAGCTAGGGTTAAGTTATAGAGGAGAGCCAGTGTTTGCCTCATGCCTTAATCATCTTGGTTTACACTAAAGGTACACTTGGTTAACAGTATCGGGTAAAGCAGTAGTCAGCATAGGCTTCATACCAAAACGCCATTCATATTTTACAATTACATGTCGGAAGAGAGCAGTGATCGAAGAGCCTGCGTATGATTCATACCTAAACGCCATTCATCACACTTACGTGTCGGAGGAGAGCAGTGAAGAGCCAGCGTGTGCTTCACACTCCATAGTTTACCATTCATATATCACACTCACGTGTCGGAGGAGAGCAGCAATGATGGGCGTGCGAGCAGCAGCGTGGGTCATGCAGGAGAGCATGAGTGCGGTGTTGCCATCGGCGTCGCGGGCGTTGACATCAGCGTTGTGCTGGAGGAGCTCCACCACCATGCGCAGCGCCATGTCTGCGTCAGGGACGCGCAGGGCAGCACAGAGCGCCGGACATCCTAGGTAGTATATAGTTGTCACACTTGCAGCGAGATCTAGTGGATTTCCGAATTTCTCTAGCAATATCAACAATAATATATATTTGAAAGGTTTGTGGTGTAATGTCAATTCTCGATTTCGCTCAATAAACGAGATATGAATTATAAGCTCAAATAAGTTGTATTTCGCGATTTCCAACAGACCATGCGTTCCAGAAAATAATTAGAGAGCTCAAAATATATAATTTACACTACACATTTTGTACGTTACTTATGAATCTGTGACAAATCTTTCCTCGTTTGATTATATTTCTTTTAGGCTACACGTTACACGATTTTACATTTTGTTTCCCGATTACTCGTAAAAGTGCTCGAAATTAAGCCGTAATGAAAATTGTACCACAGCTTGATCAACGTTGCGTAATTTGAATGGACACAAAGGCTGTCTGCACGTCTAGGCTAATTTTGAAGTTAAAATTTATAACGCAACATTATAACCAAAAGTAGGGTGAAGTAATAGCGTAAGTTTAGCTTATCAGACAATTGAATGAGGAAATTTCGAGTCACTCTCAGACTTGATGACGGTCTAACCACAAATGATGTATTAATCACATAGAAAATAATGAAAAATCTAATAACATTTACGAAAAAAGCAAGTTCTTCAATAGAAGAAAACTAAACCAAATAGATCTGGACGTTCCACACGCAACAAAATATTTTAGTTATTGCCTTCCTGCCTCCAGAACGAAAGTTTCAAATTTTTCAAGGCTATAACTTTGAAGATGCATCGTCCAAATACTCACCATCGTCATCTTTTTTGTCCGGATTCATGCCCGCTTGAAGCAACAGCTGGACGTGACGGAATCTGCAGTTATTTATGCTCTGCAACAACACGCTACTGCTCGCGCAGAAAAGGCTGGGTCGCTTTAAATTAGCAATGCTACTGGCCAGCCGGCGATCACTAAAGCAGTTTTTTGGTCTAAATTAAGCTGCTTCGTCCTCATAGTGGTTGAACAATTTTTTGAAGAGTACTCAGTATCTTGTAGACGTAGAGGATCAAAGAATTCGAGACTATCGTATTCAGCTCTTCCTTGAACCTTGCGAGGGAGGGCCCCATGGGTGGACATTTGTCTTCTGTTCAAGGGCGGTAACGTGTCAAAGCTTGTAGGTTTTGAGTTGTGATGGCCAGAATAATATTGTATACGATTGGAATCAACGGCATTAAGAGAGTTTGCTGCTCCAGGAACCGCTGGCAAACTCTCTACTTTAGAATCGATGTCGAAAGAATGATGCTTCTTACACATTTTAGGAGGAAATTTATCTGCTCGCCAGGAGTCATTGCAATAAAAAGTATGAGAATTCATAAGAGATTTATTTTTCCTGAACATACGTTCATTTTTAGTGGTCCGAGCAGAATAACTGGCGGGAAATCGATCCAAATTGGTTAAGCTGTTACTTCTGATAGAGTGCGACGATTTGCCCTTAACTCCCAACGCTTCAACTTTGCTACCGATCCGACCGAGTGTGTCGTCTTCGAGTACAGGTTGCACCTGCTCGCAGTCTTCTAAAACAAATGCATTGATTCCGTCATCACAGCTCCAAGCTTTGATAGTGGCCGAACGCCGGGAGTACGCCTGATTACCCACATAAACCAATTCGCTGCTGATGTTGTCTATTTCGTTGTATTCCATGTCTTGAAACAAAGAGTTTTCTGCAGCAATAATGCACGCTGTGAAGGATGGACTCATAATGTTGAACTGGGGCCTCTTCTTTATTATTTACCGAATGAGCCCCGGACTGCATCAGAACTGCTGCAATTTTACTTTGGACTGCATGGAAGCCAGGAGATACCGATGAGACATCCATTGCCCGTTGCAAGAGTCAGCTAATATTTGTTTCAAAGCACTGGCGTCCATTCTCAATTGTATGAATGTTCCAAAAGCGAGTTTCCAAACTTATGCGAGCATTCAGAAGTCTAGAAATGTTTATTAAAAAAATTTTACGAAGTGTAAAAATTATGTCGAATACTGGCTTCACAATTAAAGGACGACTTCTACGCCGATTCTTGAGTCTGAAAATGAATTAGGAATATATGTTTGTTAGTAACTTCTAGAATCAAAGTTTGAACAGCTTCACAAAGTTCCCAGTTGATATGTGAAAATTTCAGCATGGGCGTCACTTGTGAATAAATATTAATTGCGATAAATTTGAATTACGAAGTAACTCTTGATAAAAAGAATAAAAGCTGGAATTTTATGAACGACCATACAAGATCAAAAAATTATATAAGTGCAAATCATATCAACACATTTATAAATCAACAATATTCGTAAAACAACAAATTTTTCAACATTGACGCCACGACGCAGAATTGCTCGTGCATTGTCATATATAAATGTTGGCCGAGCGCGATCATGATGATCTATATAATGTTGACACAGCAGCATATTCAATATATATATTGACCCAGAGTGATGTTCCATCTTGTGTATTTGCGAGCGATCGGACGAGCGTATCATTCTTTCCTTGTCTTTCTCGCCACCAATCTTGTCATCAAATTCAGACCATCAATTGAGGCATGTTTCTTCATCGAACGCGCTACACAATTTAAATACAGGAGACAGATTTCTTTTAAGAAATCGTCAAAGAAAAGCTAACAGCCCGATATTCTCATTTCATTCATGACTCTGCGTACCATGAATACAGCTGTTTAACCATGAATACTCAGACAATACAGAACATAAAATATGATCGAGTATTTCGAATACGGAAGCGGAGTTTCGCCACGGAGAGGCCAGCGGTCGATTAATTATTTTCATTGTCTAACGAAGCGCTAGGTCACACAAAAAGATCGCAGCTTCCAGTACGAAGGGATATTAATTAAACGTCCCGACACAATTCATGGTTGCCAATATAGGATTTTTACTTTTAAATTTATCTCAGAGTAAAAGTTCATCAAACAATGCGCCGACTTTTTTAGGCTATAATGCTACAAGATGTTAGTGAATAATTTCATGATGAATAAAAGCATAGTTTTATAAAAAATGAAGCAGTTTTTTTAAATTAGACTATGGCAGTTAAAAAAAATACTCGAAGAAATAAGAGCGTTCCATCAATGAACTCTACGGATTTCACGATTGAGGTTTAATTTACTGGAAGGGCTCGCGACCATGCAAGTGCATCAGTCATTTTATTTCATACTAACTTGCTAGCTCAGCATTGCCTGGAATTGCTAGTTCTTGCAATTTCAGGATCCAAATCTAGTTATCCTCATGTTCCCTAATCCTGTTTATAACGATAAAGAGCATATGTATTTTAATTTAATTTAGACCCATTTAAACTAACGTTTTACATTTAAGATAGGACTTTATAAATTTTAAACTTTGATCCGATAATTTTTCATTCTCTCACTAAAAATTAAATTCTAAGTTAAGGTAATGTTCCGACGCGATAATTATCGTGGATACCCCATCAGCTCCCATATAATTATGGCACCAGACTTCAAACGCACAAATTTAGGTAAATATATAAGAGATTTATTTACATCTACCTTCCATCCTGAAACTTGATGACAGTAGGTTCCATTAAAAACCATAGTCATCAAAAATAGAAAATATGATAGGTACTGAAGGCAAACTACACTGAAGAACGAGAATAAAAGTGGTATATCAAAGTCAATTGCAAATACGTATTAAACTATAAGATAAATTTAAAAGAAACCTGGAGGGGGAAACTTCATGGGGCAACTTTTGGTTCGGATTTATATTATTGTTAAACGCAATATGAATTTAAAATTAGAACTGCGAAAATAATTTATGCATGCAGGCGTACTTACAATTTCATACTCGAATGAAAAAGGTATCCATAACATATCGTAATAACGATTATAGAAAAAAATTTAACTGTTATTTCAAGTGAGCTCGTATTTCTCAAATATAAAGGCCGATAACAAAATGAACAAAGGTTGTCACCCATCCATTTTTAGCACACTGAAAATGGATAGAAAAATTTTCATTCGAGGCAAAATAACATTAAAGGGCCATGATTAAGACTTTGTTTGCGATCTCTGACGCTTGGAACTCGTAATGCGTCCATTAGCTTTATTACACAAAATCAATTCACAAACAGAAAAATGTTGCGCGTGATATTGGAAAATTTATTAGCGAGAAATTAATGAGAAAAAATTAATCTCTGCACGGGATTTCATTTAGAGAGTACCACAAATTGCATTACAAGCCTGAAAAATTAAAATGAATAAATAAATTTTTCATGGATAAATACCTATCATAAACATAATGTCACAAACGACGAACCTCTGAACCACAATAACAAAGTTCTTTATCGAATGGCCTGGATACGAATATTTTCCGCGACGTGTTGGAGTGAATGATATACTTCGACTCTGGAGCAGTCACCCGTTCCGTCCGTAGGAATGAGCAGTCATTTCAGTTCGGCGGACAACAAGCATAAAAACTGCCTTAACTTCAGTTATTAACGTAATGCGGTTTTTTCATGTACATCCGGTTCTTTCGTGTAATGCTGATTAAAACTGTTAGGCCACATCTAGTAACTAATGCCAAACTTTCATCATAGAGGCAGTCGTAATGGGCTATCACAAGATTACAGGAAGCTAAGGACGTAGCGTCATTACGTCATGAAAGGATACTGGCTCAAATGTGTCACTCTCTGTCATCATTACGCCAAGACTTAAGATGTATTTCGCCACGCTCCAAATAAGTAGCCACGTTTGCATTACTATGTGTCCTGAAGCACAGGAATGAAGTCACGCACTTTTAACAAACACGTATGAAGGAAGTCACTCTTTTTCAAAGATATATATATAAAGGAAAAGTTTCTTCTTGAACTGGAGAGCCAGCTTCATTTTTAGCGTATCTTCTCATTTATGGAAAAAATTAAGGCTCTATTGTGCTGGAACTGAAACAGTAAGCTGATTCAGTACCAGTAAGGACGACTGGCGCTTCTGCCAGACTGCAATTACCTGAGAGTTATGCGAGGATTCACTAAGGACAAATGCATCCAGTACCAAGGATAATGTAGGCTTGCCCTGACTTAACACAGCGCGTATGGTTTCCAGTCCTGGCAAACCCGATAAAAAATAACAAGGAAACGTCAGGCATATTAATAGACAGAATACATCAATCCTGAAAGCCTTCACTCGTGTTTTGATTTTCCGTGCGTGATCACTAAGAATGGCAACCAAATGTTTTTACATCGCACATCTGCTTGCATGTAGACTCACCCAGACAAAATTTTGAGTCCATTTTCGATATCAACTTCTGCCTTAGAGGTGAATCAGGCTTGAATCGGCCACCTTACCGTATTCGGCTGTTATTTAAGCGCCTTTGCGGGAATCGATTATCGGTGGGGCCGAATCTGCGTAATATAACCGAAAAGAGCAGCTGGTCAAGCTACTTAATGATAGCCTGGTCAGTCTCTGGTATTAGAGCGCACCATGACAAATCCCCCTCTCATGGAATGGCGTGCACATGTACGTTTGTCAACCCTCTACCGCCGTATGTCACTCTCCAAGAACATAACTTTCAACTTAAATTATACGAAACTATTGAGTGTAGCAACCTGAGAACGTTCGTACGCAACAGAGAACATTTTTAAATTGTCGTACGTGGCGGTAACCATCAGTGCAAGTCATTTTGCGCACACTTAGAAGTATCCTTTTTTGGAAGTAAGCTTGTGACTGATGTCAGATGGTAGAGGGTTAACTCATACGACGGATCAAGATGAGAATTGACTTACGCCTCCTCCCTACCCTCCAGTATAAGGGGAGAAGGGAGCTGGCATTTTTTAACGCACTTTTCATATTCGGCCGTGTCCGTCCGGAAGGTATCAGGCGCCAAATACGCGTGCCTCGCACTTGCCCCACGGTTGTCAGGAAATAGACCAAATTCTAGTCAGGCGTTTATTTTGGTCGTACAATCAGAGCGTAAAGCGGACGAAGAGCCGCTAATTTACGCAAAAATGGAGCTTGAGGCGTCTATAATTCAGAAGCTGACCACCTCCTGAATTCCGATAGGGTGGGCACTAATTTGAACGAACGCGATACGATGTGGAAGTGCAAATGCACCGCTTCTGCACCGAGCTTACAAATAATGAAACGATACTCATGCAATTCAGCTAGGATCAGATGATTACACAGCGCTTACAATTAAGCAAACGATACTTTTGTAGTGTCAGAAAAATATGTACATGACGCAAGCGGTATTTTGGACACCTTAATGAGTGACTCCCAAAGGGCTGCATCAATAGATCTTTAACTTCCAGGAAAATATGACACTGGCATAGATAACAATTAGTAGGCAACGATGAAAAACAATTACATAATAGGCAATAATGCAGTAAAATAATATTCCCGGATTTTGAAACTACAGGCTTGGACAAAATAAGGGAAACGCCTGACATTTTTAGATCGTAATTTTTGAACAGGTTGAAAACAATTAAAACGTGACATAGTTATATGTTTTATTGTTTATTGTTGCTGCTAATTGATATTTTATCCTTGCACAGATATTTTTAGTAAATTTTTGTGTCTATAACCTGACTTATAAAGTTATAACCTATAAATGGCAAACCTATCACACTTGGCAGGTGCTAGTGCGACAGAAACTTTCTGAATGCTCGATGTTTCTAGAGGTACTGTCTCGGAAGTAATGACTGCTTTTGAACGAAAAGGAAAAACGTCCTCAGGAAAGCACAGGTCTGGCCGAAAGTTGAAGTTCTCTCAGAAAGACCTTCGGTACCTAAATCGAATTTCGAGGGACAAGCGAAAGAACACGACTGTTAATTAAAATTACTGAAGATCTCTATGAATACCTACAGAACCTAGTTTCCATGAGGACTGTCCGACGAGGGATGCACTTATCTAGATTCTATGGACGAGCTGCCATTAGAAACCTATGGTTTCAAATACAGATGCTTTAAAGCGTCTAGAGTGGTTTAAAAACTTCAGGAATTGGTCCATCGAGCAGCGGAAAAATGCGATTTTGTCTGACAAATCATCGTTTTCCTTATTTCCAACCTTAGGTCGACTACGCT